AAAAAAAAGTGTAAAACTTTGATATAATCTCTAGCCCTCTGCCCCAATGCAGTTTTAAAAAATTTATTTTTTTAAATTTACCATTAGGTTTTTCATATTCATTGGCCAATACAATTAAAAGCCAGCAATCACTATTGGTACATTTTATCTTTGACTCCTGTCATCTGTTGCTTCTAGTTATTTTGATACACACGCCTAGGACCCACCAATATATGACAGGATTTAAGGACGGGAACCCTCAGGGCAAGTTCGGTGTTATTTGGTTCTGACTCATAGTGGCCCTTGGTACAACAGAATGAAGCACTGCCTGGCCCTGTGCCAGCCTCACAATTGTTCTTATGCCTGAGCCCATTGTTGCAGCTCCCTGTCCATCTGTCTTGTCCAGGGACTTTCTCTTTTTCACTGCCTCTCTACCAAACATGATGTCCTTCTTCAGGGACTGCTATCTCCTGACACGTCCAAAGCATGTGAGATGAAGGCTCTCCATCATTGCCCTCAAGGAGCATTCTGGCTGCACATCTTCCAAGGCGGATGTGTTTGTCCTTCTGGCATCCGCGACGGCACTTTCATATTCCTACCACAATTCAAGTGAATGGATGATTCTCCGGTCTTCCTCTCCAGTAGCATTTCATACAGAAGCCCAACACCAACAATCCAGAGTAGATTGGAAAGGAGCAATGAGACCCTCTATTGTGACACAGGAAAGGTGTTTCAAAATGCCACATACATGACGGGGCTTTAAAAAATTTGTAGAAAAATTCCATTCTCTTTTCCAAACCCCCTTCATAGTCTTGGTTTTGTTAAAGTACAAATGAAATATTTGTGGGATTAAAAGTTTTCCTTTTACACATCCACCCTGTCCATGTTTTAGGTGTTTTGTTTTTCTTTTTTGTTGGGCTAAAAACAGTCTTTTCTCCCTGGCGTCATCCACAGCAAAATTAAATGAGCACACATACCTAATGCTGATGTCAACTCAACAAGCAGTATCGTAGATTATTGCTGCCGATCTTGACCAGATGTCCTTTCTGACTTGGCTAAATTAGTCCTCAGGTAGGCATTGGAGGCTCACTGGCTTCCATTTAGACATCTTATATGAAAGATTCTGGTAGATTCTGTTTTGCATTCAGTCTTTAGAATGAAAGGCAACCTATTATTATCACACTTGAGTTTATCATCATGAATAATTGTTATTTGGGGAAGAACATAAAGAATGGATTAGTTCGACAGGGTGCAGTATAGCAACAATGAAACATCCAACTTTCCTCTAGTTCAGCAGTTCTCAACCTGTGGGTTTTGACCCCTTTGGGGCCGAACGACCCTTTCACAGGGGTTGCCCGTTTCATAACAGTCACAAAATTAGTTATGAAGTAGCATTGAACATTTTATGGTCAGGGGGTCACCACAACATAAGGAACTGTATCAAAGGGTTGCGCATTAGGGAGGTTGAGAACCGATGCTCTAGTCTTTTAATGCTTTCTCCCCTCACTCATGATCCCCATCTACCTTGCAAGTCTGGCTAGACCAGAGGATGTACACTGGTAC